GCCGAACTCGAATCTAGATAGGCTCGGGCTAGAACTCGAGAACTGAAGCTCGAGCTCGAGCTCGTTAATTTTCGAAGTCACATGACTTTCATGATTTCATCCACGTCACATGGGATATTGGGATTACATAAATATACACATTCGATCAAAATGGTTCTAACTAGTAGTTGAGGACTTGAGGTTAAACCATAAATGTATATATAAATTTATATACTCTGAGTGGTTGGCCTAATTATATATTTATATATCTACAATATACAAAGAATAGTCGGAAAAAATCTGAAAAATTAATTTATCAATTTTTTTTGTAAGATTCTTTAAATATTATATTATATGTAACAGTCTTATAAATTTAAGAGTTAATTCCAGCAATGGTCCTCCGACTATATTGATTTTTCAAAATTAGTCCCCGACTTTTAATTTGGACATTTTACATCCCTTGACTTTCAATTTCTTTCCAATTGAGATCTTTTCGTCAGATTACGGTAAAATAGACTTTAAATGAAAGAGTAAAATAGTCATTTCATCTGCCTAATGTATAATTTTTCGTATTTCTTCCTTCTATACGCAACTTCGGGCATCAGATTCACTTAATTGCTTAATCCTTAGTGGAATTTTGTTCTTTGAGTGGATTTAGGGATTAAGCAATTAAGTGAATCTGATGACCGAAGTCGCGCATACAATGGAGAAATACGAGGAATTATACATTAGGCAGATGAAATGACTACATTACCCTTTCATTTAAAGTCCAATTTATCATAATCTAACGAATGGACCTCAATTGGAAAGAAATTGAAAGTCAAGGGACGTAAATTGTCCAAATTAAAAGTCGATGACTAATTTTGGAAAATCAATATAGTCGGAGGACCATGGCTGGAATTAACTCTAAATTTAATAACATAAATAATGAAGCGAAATAAAATAAATTTTCATTAAATGCTTTACAATATCATAAAAGTGTGTTTGCTATTTTTTTTTTTTCATTTATAAGAAGTGGAAGACAATTGAAAACAAAACAAAAAAGTATATGAAATTATAAATACAGTAGTGTATATATGATATTTCATTAACAAAGAGAGAGAAAAACAATTATTTTTAGTTTCATAATTATTGTGACATTGTATATTTAGTTCATGCCTTTTCATTTGTTTAGTCTCATGCAGTGGCAGAGCCAGAAAATGACGTGAGTGGGGGCGTACTTGAAATGATTTTAAAATTGTCAATGATAAAATATCAAACACCTATAATATGGTTCAAATACATTATAAATTATAATACAATATTTATGATAGATTACATAATAGTTAAGGTCGGAGCCAAAACTATACTTAGGTAGGGTGAAATTTAAAAAACACATTGAAATGTTATAAAAATATTTATAGCAAAATATAAAACATAATCGATTAGATAAAATAGTTTGAATAGAAAATACATTATATTCATAAATACTTTAATTTTAATTTCCTTTTAATTAGATCAACTTAAATTTTTCTAAATTAATTTGAATACGATTAAGTATGATATAAATTTGTTGACTACATTAACTAAATGATTCACAAAAAAAAAAAAAAAAGACTTAAAAATATTTAATTTATTGAAGGGTGAGAATGGTTTAAATAAAGAAAATAAGCTAAAATATACACACAAAAATAGTATACAAAATATTTAATTTATTGAAGGGTGAGAAGGGTTTAAATAAATAAAAGAAGATAAAATATTTTGAACCCATGACATTTAATGTCAAATTCAAAGCTCAACCACCTGAGCAAATAAACTACTTAGTGACTTATACGTGTACATATATATATTAAAGGAAAGAGGTGGGGGGGGGGGGGGGGAGGGGGGAGGGAGCTGATCCCACTGCCCCCACGGGGAGGGAGCTGATCCCACTTGCCCCATTGTGGCTCCGCCACTGGTCTCATGACTTTGTTAACATTATCACATTTGGTCACTTGTTATAAATTTTATAATAATGCTTTAATTTTTAGACAATTTGATAATTTGGTAATTTTAATATCTATTATTATTATTAAAAAGGTGGCCGTAAATGACACAATAACATATAAGGAGTATAACATAGAAAACCACTATGTTCATTAAAAAAAACAATCAATTTATTTTTTATTATATTTTTTATTGTCATTTTTTCAACATATATATGTGATTAAGATTGTCACACAATTATATGTGATTTGATTTGAAGTTAAGAATTAAACGTGATAATGTTATAATAATTATGAAACTAAGAGTGAAATTATCTCAAAATATAATGTTGTATAAATCAACTTATTCGCTAGAGATTTTTTATTTTTATTTTTTGGCCTTAACTTATCCCATAGTGGGGCAGCTTATACCACTTTGTGGGCTTCAACCTACTTTCACATTCTTTTCATCATTTAGCCATTGTCAAACATGAGGATAATATTTTAAATTGTATCTCTCCACTCAGAGCAAGTAATTTACTGGTGAGTTTTTACGAGGTTATTGTCAAAAAAATTTCAAGGTAGGGGAGCGATGAGAGAGAGGAGAAAATGTTATATTGCAATGAATTCGGGTTTTTCAAGTTTGTTAGAGAGAGGATAAAATGTTACATTGCAATGAATTCGGGTTTTTCAAGTTTGTTTGTCCTTTTTTTTTTTTTTTTTTGGAAAAAGTAAATAAATAAAAAAGGCGCTAATGCACGTTACGTGCACCAATATTGTCTAACGTAGTGCACATACTTGATGGAATGATTGGGGTGATCGTTAGAGCATCCACTATAGAGAAGAATGAAGAGTTATTTCACAACTTTTGAGGTGCAAATGCCATGTTAGAGGAGAGATGTGAAGAGAGACCGTGTTTTTTTTCCTGCAAATGCCAAGTTATTTCTCTTCACAAGGAAGAGAAATAAATGAGAAGACAGCAGTTGCTGTGCGCGTTTCGCGTACAGCAACTGCCGCGCCGGGCGCGTGCACTGCGCGCACCTGACAAGGCCATTACTTTATTTATTTATTTAGTTTTTTAAAATCAGTTTTGGTTTTTTTTTTTTTTTTTTTTTTTTGTTTTTTGTTTTTTTTGTTTTTTGTTTTTTTTTTTTTGTTTTCTTCCCCTTCCCACATTCCCTTTCCTAGTCACTTTTACATTCTCCTCCAAATCTCCTCAACTGATGCGGATGCTTTTAGAGCATCCACATTAGTAGAGTTATTTTGTAATTTTTGAGGAGTTTTTGTAAGTGTGATTAGGAAAGAGAATATGGGTGGTGAGAGAAAAAAAAGAAATAAAAAGCTAAAATTGATTTTTTAAAAATAAAATAAAATAAATAGAAGGGTCAGACACGCTGATAGACACGCCTAGCCGCCCGTGTGGGCTGCTGTTGTGCGCGAAACGCGTACATCACCTGTCCCTCATCATTTAGTATTTCTGACATTATTTTTTTGCCTTTGCAGGGCCATTCTTTCTCAATTAATTCTTCCTCGCAAATTATGTTGTGCATCATGTATGCTATGACGTCGTTTTGACTAAAGACGCGCGTCCAACTTAAAAAAAAAAAAATCAGTTTTGATTCTCGTCAACAACATTATGTTGTGCATAATTTCTGAATGTATAGTTATGAAATTATGGATGTATAGTTATGCAATTCTGGATTTATAGTTATAAAATTATGAATGTGTAGTTATGCAATTCTGAATGTATAGTTATGAAGTTATGTAATTCTGGATTTATAGTTATGAAGTTATGGATGTGTAATTATGCAATTCTGGATGTATAGTAATGAAGTTATGGATGTGTAGTTATGTAATTATGGGTGTATAGTTATGTAATTCTGGATGTATAGTTATGAAATTATGGGCGTGTAGTTATGCAATTCTGTTTTTTTTTTTTTTTTTTTTTTTTTTTTAAAGTCGACGTCAAAACGATGTCGTTTTTACATCCGTGTGCACCATGCACGGTGCACACAGATACACATCATAATGAATCTTCTTCCTATATTAGCTATGATCTTGAGCAAGAGTGATTTAATCTGACATTCTCCCCAAAATATTCACTGATAATGTTGCTCTTAGCTTGCTGGCACTTTTTTTTTTCTTTTTTTTTTTTCTCTTTAAAAAGTTTTATAAGCGTAATATCATATGTGAAAATCCATCAGGTTGCCCCTTGGCCATTGGTATTGCAACCAAGGAGCTCCATTTAAGACTTTTTTTTTTTTTTTTTTTTTTTTTTTTTTTTGGCAAGGTGAATTTGATTCATGCCACAGACATTGGTGGTTTATGTTTGGGTTGGGTTCATTATGTAAAATATTGTACTTATGTCTTAAAATTATATTGACTCGATTTATCTCTTTATGAGTCTACAAATTTATTTTACAGGTCATGATATAGTATGACGAAGTTGATAATCTATGGTATACAAAAAATTAATTGTTCCTTGGGGTTGGTTGCATGTAGTCGTTTGTTGCTTGGCTTGATATAACGACGGAAGGGAGCATTGTGGTGCTTCGAATCCTACTGAAAATATGAATGAGATAAAAAGAAGCTCCCTTGTACATGTATTAAAATTATAATATATGTGATTTACCTCTACAGTGTCTTTAGAAGTTGAGTTGCGTAGACTTAGGATTAATTCGGTATATAATCTGAATATATGGATATATTATTAAAAAAAAAAGTGTTCACCCGGTTTGCTTTTATTACTATGCAATAAAAGAGCATAAAAAGAAGAGTTCTCCCTAAAAAAAAAAAGGGTTTAAAAACCCTCAATTGACATATTTGTCCCTTATGGTACTTGAGTAAAAGTGTAAAACACACATAAGTGAAGTTTCAAAAAGTAGTAGTATAAGTGTATAACAACCTTACAAAGTACTCAGGAAATGCTAATGACAGGAAGGTCATTTTGATCAATTCGAAGGGTATTTTCGAGAGCTTCCGTGTAGGGACTAGGGGTATCGCAAACAGTGCCCCACTGCCTGCCTACCTGATTGCCAGGTGCCTCCGTCTATTTACAATTATAAAACGTTACAACTGAACACTCCTCACTCTATTTTCGTCGATACGAAAATGGTCTCGTCGAAGGGCAAGGAGAAGGTCGGCGCCGGCGACAAGGCCGGGGCCGGCAAGCGGAAGATCGATCTCAGCGGTGGAAAGGATGACGACAAGACCGGCAAAAGGAAGAGGAACGACGTCCTTCAGTTCTTCGAAGACAGCGCTTTCGAGGTCGGAGAGGACGAGTGTAGTGACGATTCTGACTTCTTCGACACTGGTATATGAACAATTGACAACGTCGATTTTCTATTTCCGCTACTGCATTTTTGTTTCTACCTTTTTTGTTTTGGTAATTGTTACAAAACTAGGGTTTCAGTCAATGTTTCGGGGTTTTTTCCCCTGTAATTTTTTAGCTAATTTTTTTTACTGCATTGGGTTTGGTGCATGTGCTTTCATTTTTCTAGGGTTTACTGTGATGTTGAAGAATCAGGGATGTTGGTCTTATTAGGAAATGGTGTTGAATTTGGAGCTTTAGTTTGAGAAAATTTCCGTTTTGGTTCTTCATTTTTTGTGTTAATGTATTTATTTTGTTTGATATTTGTTTGTCTTTTTATGGAGCTGTAGGTTTTGTGTGTGTGCGCCTGCTAACTGCATCATTTTATTGATATGTAGTTGCAGTTTGGTATTCATTTATCTTCTGTCTTTTAAGGAGCACAAGCTGTGAATTACTTCTTAAATTAATATGTTGTGTTTCGTGTTCACTTCTATCTATATAGTAGGTTTGGGCTAAAATTTTGATAAGTAACATAAGTCTAACCTAGACTACTTCTAATGTTGCAAGTAGGAAGCATTAGTAATTACCTAGCATGTGCATAACATACTACCTTATTATTTAATTTATTTCCTTTCATCACTTGTACTTTTATTGAACCATGAATTTGTAGTTATATGCCTTGGCGCAGGAAATTAACTGCCAACTGTTGTTTCATTTTTACCTTTTACAACACAAAACATATAACTGTTAAATTGTAAGGGATGAGTCTGTTCTGGAGCCTTATGGAATGCTAAAAAGTTAATTTAGCTGTTTATTATGTATAGAGAAATGGTTACAAACTTGGCATATGTACTCTTAACAGTATATTATATTTTAATATATGTACTAACTGCCCCATCTATATATGTGGATGCATTGATTCATTCCAATGGTATTAATTTACTAGTCTTTGGAAATTTAGATTTTATTGATGATGAATTTGGCACTGATGATGGAGTCCAGAAGCAACATGAGAAAGCCCCTGTTTTCCCTTTAGTACCTAAGGAGGAGGAAATGGATGAAGAAGAGTTGGAGAAAATGTTGAGAGAGCGCTACAAAGCTGGTTCTAGCTTTGTTAAATTTGCAGAAGATGGATATGAAAAGAAAGGATCAATTCAAGAGGACATATCTGTGCCCTCCACCAAGGACCCGACTATATGGAAAGTCAAATGCATGGTATATGTTTTTCCGATAATAATTTTTTGGAAAATAGTTTTTGCATAATCATGTTTCTTAGCAATAACTTTTCTTCCATTTTTCCCTTCAGGTTTCTCACTTTCTTGTGTGCTCTTATTTTCAACTTTCTAGTTATGCAATTTGATTGTGAACTGTAGGTTGGTCGTGAAAGGCATTCAGCTTTCTGCCTTATGCAGAAATATGTGGACTTGCGAGTTCTGGGAATGAAGCTCCAAATAATCTCCGCTTTTGCTCTTGATCATGTGAAAGGCTTTGTTTATATTGAAGCAGATAAACAGTTTGATGTTAACGAGGCACTTTTCCTATTCTTCCTGATATTATTTCTCTACAGTTTTTTGATTGATGATTATTAGTGAATGGATGCTTATTGATTTTCAGAAGTGTTCTGTGCTGGTTTTATTCTGTAACTCAAGGAACCATTTGTGTGCAGGCTTGTAAAGGGCTCTGCACTATATATTCCAGTCGGATGTCTCCAGTTTCAAGGAATGAAATTTCTCAACTGATATCAGTACGGAGCAAGTGCAATGGAATTTCTGAGGGCATGTGGGCTCGTGTCAAGAATGGCAAATACAAGGGGGATCTAGCGCAGGTGCTTTGAATTTGTTTTTCGCTGTGATTGGTTGTTATTTGATTGCAATATCAGTACTCTATTCTTTATATATATATATATATATATATGTATGTATGTATATATATATTTATCATGCTTTTAATTGTCAAAAGAGAGTTTTTACAAATATGCTGATTGTTTCAAAAATGACCATGTAGGTTGTGGCAGTGAATGATGTACAGAAGAAAGTCACAGTGAAGCTGATTCCAAGAATAGACTTGCAAGCACTGGCTGAGAAATTTGTAATAAACTGTTTTTTTTTCCCCCTCATAAACGCCTGTTTTATTCCTCATTGCTTGCTTAGAGAAATATTGAGTAGCTAATTACATATGCTTTGGGATTTCTAAGACCCTTTAAATGTAACTTTACTGCTAAGAATCCATTGATCTCTGTATTAGGTAGACGATTATTGGAGCTCAAAGGTTATTTCAATAATTGAAAGCCATGCAATATTCAATATTAATAGGCTGATAGTGCCAATACTTAAGTGAATTCATTATAATATTTGTATTTGCAATTTAAACTTCATGGTTGATCTTATCAGATGTGTGTGTTTATTTTAATACATATTTACAGGGTGGAGGAGTTGTTGCCAAGAAGGCTTGCATTCCAGCACCGAGGCTAATCCGCTCTACTGAGCTTGAGTAATATTTCTCACTTAATTTCTTTTTCTTCATTTGGTGGATTAACAGTATAAATGATCTTCTCCCTTGTTAAAATTGTAGGGATTTTCGTCCTCTCATCACATATCGCAAGGATCGTGAGACAAACCAGATGGTTGAAGTTCTTGATGGAAAGATGCTGAGAGAAGGCTATTTATATAAGAAGGTGTCTATTGACTCTTTGTGCTTCTGGGGTGTAATGCCTTCTGAAACTGAGCTCCTGAAGTTTGAGCCTTACAAGAATGATGAACCCCAAGATACCGAGTGGCTTTCCCAGCTCTATGGTGAGCGAAAGAGAAAACGAACAATTAAGCATGACAAAGGGAATGGGAAAGGTGGTGAGAAAGGAGAGGGTTCATCAAACTCAAACAATTTTGAAGTAGATGATCTTGTGTTTTTTGGGTAGGTATGCTGCTTGGTATTGGTTATGCCATATCCTCATGGTGCATATTTTGATCTTGTTGGGTGTGTCATGTGTGTCCCTCCCTTCTCATAATTTTTTTTCCTGGTTATGGCAGTCGCAAGGACTTTGGCATTATCATTGGCACTGAGAAGGAGAATGTGTATAAGGTACATTACGCACTCTGCTCTCGTCTATCATTCTCTCACTGAATGGTTTCTCATTAATGCTTCATTTGTTTCAGATCATGAAAGAAGGTTCAGAGGGACCGGTGTTAGTGACTGTTCAACTTCGTGAACTAAGAGCAGCATGCTTTGATAGAAAACTGTTCACCGTAAAAGATCAACATAAAAATACAATTTCCATTAATGACATTGTCAGGGTTTTGGATGGTCCATCAAAGGTTTAGTTTTTATTTTTATTTTTATTTTTATTTTTATTTTTTATTATACAGAGAGCACCATTTCTTTGTTCATTTAGGTTCTGCCATTTTGAAGCTAACAGTTGTGCGGATCTATCAACCTTTGCCAGGATAGACAAGGGATTGTTAAGCAAATCTACAAAGGTGTCATCTTTCTGTATGATGAGATGGGTGAGGAACATAACCGGTATGTCTGTGTTAAAGCTCCGGTGTGTGAAAGAATTTCCCGTAGCCATGGTTTATTGTCTGGGAAGGTTTGTTTGTTTCCAAAATGATCCCTTTATTTGCAACATTTGCACCCCCTTTTCCAGACATTGACATAAACTTTTCACTCTTTGCTTCTTTTCTATTTTATTAGGAAAGTGAGGCTGGACCATCTTCAGGTTTTGCTGAAACCCCATCATCTCCAAATACCCCATTGTCACCTAAGAAACCTTGCAGAGAGAGGGGTGATAACAGTAACTGTATGTCTTCATACTTCCTTTCAGTTTGATTGATTAGATTAAGAAGCTGATGTGCATATGTGCTATAATGATTCAGTTTCTCGTGGGGATAAAGATGGACTATTATTCTCTGTTGGTCAATCAGTCAGAATACGTGTTGGTCCTCTGAAGGGATTTATCTGCCGTGTCTTGGCTGTACGTCAATCTGATGTCACTGTTAAACTTGATTCACGGCAAAAGATTCTTACAGGTGTGATGACTTAATTTGATTTACTTTCAGTGCTTTGCCTAAGGTGTGTACTCAAGGTTTTTCATATATTTGTAGTTAAAAGCGAGCATCTCTCTGAGGTTCATGGAAAGTCTTCTACCATTTCTTTGGGGTATTGTTACATCTAACCTGAATGATCTGCAGTTGACTGTTTCCCTTTTGTTTTTTAACTTCAGATTCCTGTTAATTTATTCTTTCCTATTTGCAGTAGTGCTGATCCAGAGGCTGCAAAACAATTTGATCTGCTTGGAGCACAGGATGGTTCAAGAGGTATGAAGCACAGAAGCAGTAGTGCTTCTGCTCAGCTAAGTGCAAAACATGTTATTTACTTTAGAAAACAAAGCTTTTAAAGTTTGTGTTCATCCTCAGTTCTTTCTTCCCCCCTGCCTTTCCATAAGATTATTTCTTGTGCTGAGTTAGCTTATTGATATTTAGACTAATACACTGTTAAATATTTCCCACAGATAGTGAGCTCTTCTCTATGTATAGAGTTATAGATAGATTCCTTCCATAGTTTCAAACTCTTCCTCTACAACTACTAAAGCCTTTCAATTCTATTGTCTTTTCAGCCCTTTCATCAACATCTTTCCCTGTACTGTATCTTGCTTGATTGTGTTTGGCCTGCGTTTTCTTTTGGTTTCCTTTTTGGAAATTATAATATCTGTATCATGTATTAATGATCTCATTTGTTTTGAAGATTGGACTTCTGGAGGGGTACCAGCTGCTGCACAAGATGATAATTGGAATGCAGGATTGTCATCAAGTGAAAGGTTGGCATCATTGCTTAGTTTCTTCTTGCTCTACATTATAAAATTCAATACCTATGCAGGAGAAATTTCTTGGTGAACTTGTACATTTGTTAGTTTACTCCCTGCGGAATTCTCAAGATGCTCAGTGGAACATAACACACTTGAATACTTGTAAATTTTTTGCTTTTGGTGTATTAAAATCTTTACTAGACTTTACATTTCTTAAAAATCAGTATTCACTATTGTATCAGGTGTAATACACCCAAGTGCACTAGTCTCCATGCATCGTCCCCTTTAACATTAGTACATAAATGTGGAAAGACCATAAATATGAAACTGCAAGGACACAACATTCTGAAATAATTTCAGACCAGAAATCTGGGATATAATCATTTTGTGTTCGATTCCTTCTAGCAACAAGGAATCTGGGATATAATCTTTAATCATGGATATTGTGATTTTATTGGTTTGCATTTACAAACCCTTAGTTGGAGCTCACCACTTCTTTCATCATTTGTTAAATGTGTTGTGATGTTTGAATATGTTGTGAATCAGTAATTTATGTTTGTGGCATAGCTAGATATTCTTTTACCATGTGACATTTACATTTCCTTTTTGGTTCTTGTGTTGGTATTTGATTGCCGTGTTGAATCCTTCATAAAACTGAATTTGTTACTAAAATCTGGCACTTTTTTACAGGAGCTCTTGGCCTTCTTTCCCTGCATCAAGCAGCTTAACTGTACGTATACGGTTACAATCTAAATGTTCTCAACTTCCGTCTTAATTCGTTAGTTATCTTATGCTCTCCATTTTTGTGATCACTTCATGACAAAGTTTCTTCATTATACAGACTCAATTGGATCCTAATTCCATAAGTTCTATCACTGCAGTTGATGTGAATAATGGTATGATTACTGATTTACTGTGCAACTGTTTTTTTTCCCCAAAGGAAAAATTACATTTCTATTTGGAAATATATTTTGGTTAAGTGCTAATGGTATCAGTTTTCAGTATGTTCTTTGTCAAAATCCAAAATAAATCAAGATTACTTTCTGCAATATCTCTGAAAAATGGCTTTCCTATCTCTTAGTAGAAAAAGCTTCCATTTATTAAATTTCTATTCTTACCTTCTTTTTTTTCCTGCACGTTGGTGTACAAGATGCTGGAAATTCTGCTTGGGATAGTGGTACAACTCAAAATAAGAATGCATCATGGGGTGCATCAGGAGTCTCTGAGAAAAATGTTGCTGATGCTGGACAAGATAGTGGCTGGGGAGGGAGTGATAGTTGGAAGAAAAGTGTTTCCACTACAGGAGTTGGTAGCAGTAGTTCTGATAGTTGGGGGAAATCACTTGAAGAAAGCACAAACAAGAACAATGCTTCCAACTGGGGTGCTTCTGGAACCACACCAGGGAAAGAAACTAGTGGGAACTGGAATCAACCTGAATCAGGTGGTGGGTCTAGTTGGGGCAAACCTCCTGTGGGTTCTCAAGGTAAAGAGACTATTGTTGGAAACAGTGATGCTTGGGACAGCAAGGGAGTGGCATCTAACTCCTTATCTGGTCCAGTTAGTGAGAGTAAGGGATGGGGCAATGCTGGTAGTTCACAGGATGGCGGGTCCACTTGGAGCAAACAAGATGCAGGATCTTCTTGGAATAAGAAGGAAGATAAATCTTCATGGGCAAAACAAGGAGGGGCTCAACCTTCTTGGGGCAAACAAGACAGTAAGATACCTGATAGTTCTGGTGGGGGTGATGGTGGATCTTCTTGGGGAAAGCAGGAGGGTGCATCATGGGGCAAACAAGATGGGGGATCTTGGAATAAGAAGGAAGATACTTCATGGAATAAGCAAGGTGGAGGACCATCCTCAGGCCAGCAAGCCAACAAGGGTGGTGGGTCTTGGAACAAACAGGAGGGTGGATCCTCATGGGGCAAACAAGATGGGGGATCTTGGAATAAGCAAGGCGGAGGACCATCCTCAGGCCAGCAAGCCAACAAGGATGGTGGGTCTTGGAACAAACAGGAGGGTGGATCCTCATGGGGCAAACAAGATGGGGGATCTTGGAATAAGCAAGGTGGAGGACCATCCTCAGGCCAGCAAGCCAACAAGGATGGTGGGTCTTGGAACAAACAGGAGGGTGGATCCTCATGGGGCAAACAAGATGGGGGATCTTGGAATAAGAAGGAAGATAAGTCTTCATGGAATAAGCCAGGTGGAGAGACATCCTGGGGCCAGCAGGGTGACAAGGATGGTGGGTCTTGGAGCAAACAGGAGGGTGGGTCATCTTGGAAAGGAGGTGAATTTGGGAATAAAGATGGTTCAGATCAACAAGGAAGCTGGGGTAGGGAAAGCACATTCGATGGCGGACGTGGTTCTGGCGGCAGAAGAGGAAGGGGTGGCGGCAGAGGAAGAGACAATTTTGGAAGAGGTAGAGGTAGAGGAAGATCTTTTGATCGAGGTGAGTCAAGCAGCTGGGGCAAGGAAGGTGAAGATAATAATGGATCAGGATTTGCTGGGGGATCTAGTTGGAAAAGTTCTCAGGAAAGTTCTTGGGGTAAAGTCACATCAAGTACAAGTTGGAAAACTGATCAATCAGAGAAGCAAGAGGGATCAGGATTTGCTGGGGGGCAAACTAGTTGGAAAAGTTCTCAGGAAAGTTCCTGGGGTAAGGTAACATCAAACGATGAAAACAATAAGGATGGTTGGGGTAATCTAAATGCATCTGGGAAGAAGCAAGGATGCGGCACAGTGGAAGAGGCAGGTGAAAGTAATAAATGGCTCAGCAATAAACCAAGTTCGGGTTGGGGAAGTACTCAATCAGAAAAGACAGAAAGCAACAAAGCTGGATCAAGTTTGGGTTGGGGAAGTAATCAATCAGAAAAGACTGAAAGCAACAAAGCTGGATCAAATTCGGGTTGGGGAAGTAATCAATCAGAAAAGACTGAACGAGATAAAGATACTGCTTTTAATAAATCGTCTGATTGGCAGAGTGAAGGTGGCTGGAATGCTGCCAAACCTTCTGGTGAAAGCCAGTCATCTAGTTGGAACAGAAAAGCATCTACCAATGACGAAAAAAATACGAGTGGAGCTGATGGGTGGAGCACAGGTAAAGGAAGTGGTTCTGAAACTAATCAGTCATCAGGTTGGAATAAAAAATCTAGTGACGGTGGTGGAATTGGAGATGCAGTAAGTAGTTGGGGCAATAATGAACAATCTTGGAAAACTAGCAATTCCTCTGCAGGAAATCAGTCATCTGGGTGGAAGAGTGAAGGAAGCCAGGATCCTAATGCTTGGAGCAGCAAAAGTAACTGGAACTCAGGAAGTGGCTTTGCTGGGGATGAACAGCAGCCTGACGGTTCTAATGAGAGGGGAAGAGGTGGATGGAGGGGTGGCCGTGGTGGATCAGATAGGGGAGGCTTTCGAGGTAGAGGCCGATCAGATAGGGGAGGCTTTCAAGGTAGAGGTGGATCTGATAGGGGTGGCTTTCGTGGTAGGGGTGGCTTTGATAGGGGTGGATTTGGGGGTAGAGGGCGTGGGAGAAGAGATCAGAGTGGTGAATGGAACAACAGAAATGATTTTGGCGATGGTAAGCCCAGTTGGAGCAATGGGTCAGGCAGTGATCCTGCTAGCTGGAAAGCTAGTGATGGTAGTGGAAGTTGGAATGAAGGTGGCAGTGGAAAAGGTCAGTGGCAGAGTTGGTCTGCAGGTGGTAGCACATCTAAAGCAGATGGACATAGCTCGGAAGCTGGTGGATGGAACAATAGAAATGACTCCGGGGATGGTAAGCCTCCCAGCTGGAAGAATGGATCAGGCAGTGATGCTGGAGGTTGGAAATCCAGTGATAATAAGGGGAGTTGGGGAGGCAGTGAGAAAGGCCAGGGCAGTGATAATAAGGGGAGTTGGGGAGGCAGTGAGAAAGGCCAGGGCAGTGATAATAAGGGGAGTTGGGGAGGCAGTGAGAAAGGCCAGGGCAGTGATAATAAGGGGAGTTGGGGAGGCAGTGAGAAAGGCCAGGGCAGTGATAATAAGGGGAGTTGGGGTGGCAGTGAGAAAGGCCAGGGGCAAAGTTGGTCTGCAGCTGGTAGCACATCTAAAACAGATGGACATGTCTCAGAAGCTGGAGGATGGAACAAAGGGTCTAGCACAAATGCTGCTGGAGGTGATGCTAGTGCCAGTAAATGGTCTACCCAAGAGAACACTTCAGGAAATCTGAGCTCATCTTGGAATTCAAGCCAATCAACTGCTTCTGGACTTGAAAAATCCAAAGAAGCATGTGGAGCTACTGAAAGTGGAGGGCCTGCCGATGCATGGGGCAAGGCATCTAGCTCTTGGGGCAAAGGGAGTGATGGAGCTGGCAAGGGAGGGTGGTGATGGCTCCTGAAAGGTAATTTTATTGACTTGAGCACCTTCCATTGTCTTTTAATTGATTTTGAATATGAGTGATGGAAATGAATAAATGATTTTGAATGTTTGAATTTTTTCAATTGGGTTTGAAACTTTTTATTTTCCAGTAGTATCCAACTGACCCTAAATTATACCTTGATATTTCACAATTTCATTCCTGCCCCTTCTTATTATATGTATTTGTTACATTTACTTGTTAGTTAGTGATCTTATCAAAATTGTTGTCTATTAAATCTGAACAAATTGATCTTTACATGCTGGACTTTGAGCGCGTTCTTGAGATTCTTGTTTGTTGACTCCAACATTTGCTGTATTATGTAGTCCTTGCTCAAAAGGTGTTTACAACTATACTATTCTTGTGACTTCATTGTCTTCCCCTTCAGGTGTGTTGCTTGACGTGGGGATGGCCATGCTTGGTGAGGGATCATCTTTTTAATTCTGCCTTAGTTGTAAATGGCCTGTCTAGGGAAGCCATATTGAAACCCAGAAGTTTAGTTTTTTAACCAATTGGGGTTATGTACATTTTGGAACAAAGCTTCGTAGATGCTAATTACTCCGTTTCAGTTCTACTTCCAATCTCGTTTCTTCATCTCCAGACTTACCAGCATACTTTTATAATAAATTGTATGTAAACCTTGGAAAGTTGACTTCCAATTCTCTTCCTGACGTTTGATGGTTTTATTTAAGGCATGGCTTTACTGCTATATTATAACAGAGCAATCCTTAATTACTTATTTTGGAAAGTCTATACTTGTCATTCTTGAAGTAGTTGAAATTTATTACTATTTTACTGGAAAGAGTGATTGCTATGTTAATATTACACACCACTGTTCAAACCAATTGAATTAATATTGCACATTACTGATCAAACTAGCTGCGCAGGCATCACCACATCATTATAGTAGCATTGTCACTTGCAAGTTCTGGCTATGTATTTGTTTGGGTTACTTTCTTTTATTTAGCAAGATAATTACTAAAGCCGCTGATCTTGGATGAATGTAGCTGATTCGAGCTTAAACCTTAATCACAATTTGGTAAAACATAGGAGGGTGAAGTTAGTTCAGTTGGTCGCTCATCAGTGTGTAATATCAGAGTTTTTTACTGAAAACCTGAAGCATAAGTTAGGATACTTCAATCATATTTCGTTTTGTTCTAGTGTTTGGTAGAGCATGGAAAATGGAAGTCAACCGAAAATCACTTCCACTCAATGGAAAAACACGTGTTTTAGTCTCCATTTTTCTTCTCCCAAACTTTATTCTACCTAACCTTGCCAACCCGTTGCCGTCGTCATCGCTGTTAGCCTCCGCCATCGATCGTCGTTCATCATCAATAACCATGTCATTGTTGTCGCCACGCCTAGCGCCACCATCATCAGCCGTTGTCATCCCCCGTTGCGTAGCTGCTGTCTTCTTCAAGCTTGAAGGTAAGCCACCTTTGTTTCACAACCAGCACCAGCCGTCGATCTTCACACACCTCACAGTTCCCGTAGTTGCCGTCGTCGATCTCCGCATTACCATTGCTGATTTGTTGCAAAGAAAAAACTAGAAAAGAATTTGGACTGCGTTTAACTACCCGGTGTGGATTGTAGATAAATTTTAATAATAATAATAATATTCATAATTCTGCTCATTTTATAGAAAATGAATCAAACACATTAAAATAATTTTTGAAATGCAACTAAACACTATAAAAATTATTTTCTTAAAAAATACTCATTAACACATCCTAAAAAATAATGTCTAGAATAGGAATGGAAATGGAAATGGCACTAGCTAGCACTAGAGTATGGTGTTTCATGTTTGTGTTTGGTACCTTAATAATAAAATATTTATATATATACTCCGTATATATTACTCCCTTGTAGTACACAACAAAGTTACACATGTTAGCTGCTGCCTCCCTCCCTCCATTATCATCGGATCTCTCTTTTTCTCATTCTTCATCATCAGGTACCTCTCCTCACTCTCTCTTTCCTTCTTCTAATCTCACTACTTTTCGTCTATATAAACTTTGTATTTGATTTACTTTCTGCATTAATTACTCTATATTCAACTTCACTCCCTATTTAATGTCTGTCAGTCATGCCTAAGATTCTCTTACTCAACACTTTTCCTTTTTAATTCAACTTCGGCGACCGTCATTTCTTCGCTTTACACCATTTTCCCTAATTCATTTCCAGGAATGTGTTTTGGTTTTGAATTTGATCGATCGATTGTTATGAATGATTGAGCATTACAGTGTGTGGTGAAATCCACCGTTTTGCCTAATTTCGGGATCACTTGCACTAATTAATCATGTTAAGCAAAATAATTAAACGGAAAAAGGGTTTGAAATCGGAAGGAGCTGTGATTCCGGCACCCTCCCCGCCTGATGTGGTTTGTAATCACGCTTCGCGTATAGCCGGCACGCCTGATGGAGGGAATGCCAATAGCGCTTCCGGATTAGCTGAATCGCAGTCGCACGTTGTGTGTTTGGCCAATGCTCCGCCCAATCTGGCGGTGGAAGTGCTTCCGTTGTTGAAGGAGGTCTCGCCGGCGCAACGCCATTTCGTGTTCGTCCGCAAGCTCCAAATTTGTTGCTTGCAGTTTGACTTCACGGATACTGTCAAGTCTGCGCGTGAGAGGGAGATCAAGAGGCAAATGCTGTCGGAGCTTATTGATTTAGTGCACACTGGATCCTGTAAAATGAATGAAATAATGCAGGGAGATTTGGTTAGGATGATATCGGCCAACATTTTCCGGTGTCTGCCCCCTCCGTCTACTGCTGGGGCTGACGGTGGTGATCCCGAGGAGGATGACATGTTCATGGACCCGTCCTGGCCTCATTTGCAGCTCGTGTACGAGCTGCTTCTCAGATATGTGCTGTCAGCTGAAACTGATATCAAGGTTGCCAAGCGGTATCTGGACCATACGTTTATGCTGAAGTTGCTTGACCTGTTTGATTCAGAAGATTCCAGAGAACGGGAGTATTTGAAGACTGTTCTTCATCGTATATATGGGAAGTTCATGGTTCATCGTCCATTTATAAGGAAGGCAATAAATAATATCTTCTACAGGTTTATATTCGAGACGGAACAGCATAATGGGATTGGTGAGTTGCTGGAAATTCTCGGGAGTATAATAAATGGGTTTGCAACACCAATGAAAGAAGAGCACAAGTTGTTCCTTGTCCGAGCACTGATTCCACTCCACAAGGCTAAGTGTGTTGCTGATTTTCATCAACAATTGTCATACTGCATTGTGCAGTACGTTGAGAAGGACTATAGATTGGCAGATATCGTCATTAAGGGTCTGCTGAAGTACTGGCCTGTTACTAATTGTAGCAAGGAAATTCTCTTTATCGGTGAGCTAGAAGAAATTCTCGAACTTACACAGCCTGCTGAATTTCAACGGTGCTTGGTTCCTCTTTTCAAACAAATTGGACGATGCCTCAATAGCTTCCATTTCCAGGTTTGGCAATTTATTATCCTTCAAATATTTTGTATGCCTCCAAGTTCATGGCACAGAACGTTCTCAAATTATTTGGTTGACCCTTTCAATTTGCATAATGAAGAATCTAGCTTTGTGAACTTTTAACTTGTATATGTGATTGAAGGGAGTGCTAAACTTGATTTACGGAGTATATTATGACATACTATTATTGTGTTATACTTGATTCACCAAAGTATTAGTGCACAAGCTTGAAAGAAGTAAATGACATCAGGTATATGTAAGAGGTTAGGTGTGATGAAACTTTGAAATGGAAATAATAATAGATTGTGAAAGCCAAATAAGATAAGCAGTTGATGAGCAAGATGATGACACTTGGTCAATTTTTTTACTGATTTGGTCTCAGTTGCACTGCTAAGTCTGAAATTCTCATTTAAAGGAAGAACTCAAAAGAAAGCAATTGTAGTTAGAAACAAGTCTAGATTCATGTTAGCTTGTAAAAGTACCTTAATTAATTTAGACAATTAGAACATTTAGAAAGAAGGAAGATACTTGGGGAAATAAGGTATGACCATTTGTAAAAGTACCTTAATTAATTTAGACAATGCTTGGGGAAATAAGGTATGACAGTCTAACTTTTCGTAGATCTTGATGTAATTATATTCTGACATGATCTTCAATAATGGATGTGTCATTGTAGTGTAGTATAGTGTAGTCACATTCTCCAGCTGTAGTCTTTTGAGTGAACAAGGTTGCCTTTAGATATCGCAAAATATTATATGTACTCCCATTATACTCCCAACTTTTACTCCCGCAGTCCCGCACTTAAAATTTTGATGTAGACACATTTATAGTGCCCACATGAAGAAAATAGCCTATCGTGGTCCGCCACTTAAGGGAGTAAAATTTGAGAGTACATGTAGTATAACTCTTAGATATCATGCCTATACAGAGAGAAAAATGCAATCTCCCAAAGTTAGGTACATGCAAACAATCATGAGACATGGATGGTAGTGTTTCGTTTATAAGCTTTTCAGGTAATTTGCCTAAAGGACATTTAGGAGTATGGTTGTCCCTGCACTCTGGAATTTGGCCAGTGTACTTTAAAAGTTACTGTCTAAAGCCATGTATTTCATCCATCCTTTGTAACTTGGTTTTTGTCAGTTGGCTTTTTAATATGTCCTTATAAGTTCTTAATAGAGTTTTCAAAAATATGACACCACTATCTAAAAGTATTCATACTTGACAGGTTGCAGAGCGGGCTCTTTTTCTATGGAACAATGAGCATATAGTAGAACTGGTTGCGCTGAATCGGCGTGCTATTTTACCAATCATCTTTCAAGCATTGGAAAGGAATATGCAGGGCCACTGGAACCAGGCTGTCCATGGGCTGACCTCCAACGTCCGAAAAATGTTCCTGGAGATGGATGCTGAGCTATTCAAGGAGTGTCAAAGGAAGTATGAAGAAAAAGAAGCCAGTGCTGGAGAATTGGTAGAGCAGCGTGAGCTAAAATGGAAGAGATTAGAAGAAGCTGCTAAACGACGGGCTGGGGGATAAGACTAGTCCTGGTCTATCATTTATTTATTTATTTATTTTTGAGCTCTCTCATTCACAGGCTTAAACCGCCATATGCAGCTGGAGTACGGTCTCTGTGTCAAAGGAGATTTTCTCTTCTGCTTCAGCGAGACCAAAGGTATGGGTACAGGAGATTGTTTTTATCATCCTGTCTGTCATGACCAATTCAATATTTCTTGTTCAACTTGTCTTTCTAGATGAGCTCATTCTTTTAGACTTTTGGACAACAATAATTTTACTGGTGATTTTCGTTTTTGTGATTGACGACCCCTACCCTCATATTATCTAAAAGAGGGGAGAAATCAGTCCTAGGTTTCCTTTATTCATTCTCAGGAATCTCAGCTTCATAGGTTTTATTGTTGAAACTGAACACTGGATATTGAATTTTAACCACTTCTCCTTCTTGAGTAATTTTCTTCACTGCTATCAATCATGCACAAAAAAGTGAGGCAAATTTGCATTTCCTTTCATTGCTTCTTCAAAATGACAATAATATTTTTCTTGATTTTTTACATCAATAATTACAATGTTTGTCACAATTGCCCAGCTCCATTGGAGCAAATGTACAAAACTGAAATAATTAGAACAGACAAAAAGATGGTGGTGGTTGGGGTAGGGGGCGATGCTTTAGCGCCGCTCCCAAATATCATCCCAAAGAAGTCGTCACCACTACTGTGCGACTGGCTTGTGCTGGTAGTTGTCCCTCCATACATGTTGTTGTCCCTGCAATCAATGGCGATATGGCATATTGCCAAATAAGCATGACAAGATGACAGAAACATAGCTTAGTTATCTTAATAGAAAACACTTATTAAAGAAAGATGCCAAAATGATTGTGCATTTTATATTTTTATTCTGTGACTTTGTGATAAGCTTATGATTATATGATACAGATAAGCCCCTGGCCTACCAAAGTGGTTGAACTTTGAACAGATCTGTAAGAACCATTTTTTTTCTTTTACTTGCTAGTATTGATCTGAAATAGGGTGGGAGAAATTCAAAGAAAGTTGGACCATAGCTCTACCAAAGATAGATAGGTAAAGACATAGCATTCTTTTGTCAGAAAACCTTATAAATCTCATTTTGAATTTTGATGGATAATGACAGGTTAACAACATATTACCTAGTACATAGTTTCATTAAGCCTTAAAATTGCCTCAATTCACTAACCATTAATAGTCAAACAAGGCCATTATAATGTTCTATCTCACAACTAAAAGATAGCCGACAATGCTCGCACGGACAATTCAATTAGTTCTTGAGTGGTAGATTGGGGCAAAGACAAACGATTGAGCTCTGACAGGCGCAATGTGAAAGTTTTAGTGGACTTCTTGTGGGCACTAGACACTGGACCGAACTATGGGCTAACTAAATCATCGTGACACCCGAAAAGGGTCAATACAACTTGATCAGCTTTGAAGACTTACAACCCCACTAATGCAACTATACCAGCTACAAGCTAGCTGATAGTTGTCTATACTAGTGAAAAGAGGAAGAAGAGGGCCCCCCAATACATCAAGCAATTATAGAGGAAAAGGATGTGCCCCCACAAACAAGAAAAGCTGGCAAGCAAGAAAGCCCTGAACTGAACCACTTAAAATATAGCACACACAATACACCTAACATGACTTGGCCCTTAGGTTTGCCCTGTACACTTGAAAAGCAATTTTCCCATTAACATCAATCTTCATCAGCTAGCTGCTAGCCTATTGGTCATTTTCTTGTGTAGACAGAAGGACAAGGCTCCCACCCCCACTTGGAAGAGACTGTTTTTGCAGCATATTAAAGCCATTGTAATACCAGTCATACTACCTGGGAAACAATGGGCTTAGTGGTAATTCCCATAGTGTCTTCGCTTAGTCAAATCAGTAAACATTGAAGAATGGACAAACCCCACTTTAGCTCTTCCCAAGGTTTATTTTATTCTCCATGGCCATAAATGTTAAACTTCTATTACATATATATTTTTATTTTGCTTCTTATTTCCTAACCTAACATGGTAACATATATGGTAACACATAATTAATAATAGTAGACGGTTACCCTTTCAGTCAAGCCTATTACACACGACCTTCTTAGCGTAATTTACCTACTTGTATGTTTTGTAGATTCTTACACAAGAACAGTCGAGCCCATCACACACGATCTTCTAAGTGCAATTTATTCCACTTGTATGGTTTGTAGACTATTACAAGATATCACAGAAACAAGGTTGACCTAATGCGCACCTTTATATAGTAGGTGGGGATTCCCTTATTACCCAAAAATAATAGTACATAGCTCATGGGGCATACTCAAGTGTGCTCCCGGGGCAAAGGTCAGTAGAAAGGACAGTTAGAGCTAGTAAGTCAACAGTATTGACAGATATGAGGAGTGGTTCAATTACTACCAGTAACACAACTTGAAGTTAGATTCTCCATAGACTATCCATGTATTTGCCAGGGAGTCTATTTCCTTGTCTGATTGCTCAGACGATCCATGTGTTCGAATTTTGGTCTCTTTTTTTAAATACTGTTTACTAAACCATTGAACTAAGTCTATACGGAGAAAAAAACAAAAAACACTAATTCTAGATTGGTGTGTAGTGACACCCTGTCAGCCTAGATTCTGCATTGCTCACATGTATCTGCAAGCATTTATTCCACTGTTCCCTAACCTTTGTTTCTGTCTCACAGTCTCACACTATAATTTTAACGTTTCTTTTCACACTCCTTTCTCTTTCTAGAAATGGGCGACTGTGAGTCTGAAAAGTTCAGAATAAAACCCACCAAACAGGGCCCCTCCACTAGGGCCCTCGAAACGGAAAAAAACAATACTGAAAAGACTAAACTGCCCTAGGCTCTGACACAATGACAGTTGTTTCCCGTTGTAAAGTTGAGTGGGTGGGAAATGAAAATACGCGGAATCGTCCGTACCTGGATCCGCCGAGGCAACCGGCGTTCATGGTGATCCGGTCGACGAGCTCCGCCGACTTCGGCTCCAGGCTGGAGGCCTTTGCGTATTGCCCGGTCACGCGCGCGCCGTCGCCGGAAGGCACGAAGAATGCTCCGTTTACCATTATGTCCCCGTCCGTCCTCCAGTTCCAGTCACTCCACTCTCCCTCGTTTGTATCCACGCGCTTCGTCACCTGTCCCCACGCAAACACCTTTTAACGCACTTTACGGCCAGAAACACTATAGTTCCAACGGCGGCGCGTATACCACTCGCCACCGCTTGATTCTCTCTGTAAACCAATAAAAAAATTTCACGGAAAAATGATGGGAGAAAAAAGTTGACCTCCTTAGCACTAGCGTCCGCCGGCGCAGTATAGCGGTTGGCCTGGCTGTTAATGGTGGGGTTAGCGCTGCCGCCGATAGCATACATTTTCCATTCCGTGAAATCGTTGTTCACCACGTGTATATAACCCCGCCGGCACCGCGGCATCCTTTGCACTAATCCTTCCCCGAAGTAATTGAAAGCAATTGTTACCTGCACCATTGTTTTTCTTTGTTTAATTTTTATTGGATGAAGATAGAAATTCACACTTACTATTGAAAGTGTATGTATTGGGTAAATCTTGTGATTGTTTATAACTGATTAGCTGAACTTGTAACATAATCAATATCAAGTAAATAGGATACCAATAATTGATCGACTCAAAGAAAGGAATAATGTCAATAAATTGATCGTACAGGGAGTCAAATTTGTAACATTATGTGTTACCACTTATCAGAGTCGAACTTGTAATATTCTGTGTTACCAATAATTGACTGACCTAAAGTGAAGGGATTCCTTATACGCAGTAAGCAAATATCTAAGTGTTTATGGTTCACTTGAGTTACCATGATTTACAAATGCTTTATCGGGCCAGAGTGTAAGGGGTCTTTGAGGTTGGGAATTTAACTTTTTAGGAAGAATAATTGACTGACCCAAAGTAATAAGGTCAATAAATTGCTCTCCAGGTGGTTATGGTTTCGAGCTTTAGTAGAGGCAGTATTGACTCTTTGTGCTTTAATAGGTTGATAAATCACTCTCACTAAAAGTCGAATTTGTAATATTGTGATTACAAAATAAAGTTTAACCAAGTTGGTTGGATTAAGAAAGGGTAAAATTGTAAATTTTGTTAACGAGGCAAGGTTACCGGAAAAAGGAAGGGTAAAATGGTAAATTGACTGACCTGCATGCCGGAGTCCGGCAAGTATTTATCGTCGTGTCCCAGTAGCATAACCTCATCGTGGTGGGAGAAATAGCTGTTTGAGATGGTGATGGCGGTGGAGCCCATGATGGCGTCGACTAAGCCGTCGGTACAATGAGATAAAGCGCAGTGGTCGATCCAGATATTCCTGGACCCGAATATGGAGATGGCGTCACCGTCGGACTTGCTTCTGTACCCGACGTGCGTCGGGCTGGAGCGTATGTTAGTGTTGCCGGTGGGGACACAGTTGTAAATGTGCACGTTGTGGATGATGACGTTGCTGATGTACTGGAGGGTAATGCAGCCGCCGCCGGTGATGTGGACGTTGGCGCCGCGCCCGTCCACGGTCTTGTAGCTGTTGAAGATGAGCTCGTGCTTCAGCTTGATGGTCATGTCGGCGGCGAAGATGATCCAGAGGGGCTCCGTTTGGATCACGGCGTGCCGGAGCGTCCCCGGCTTCGGCTCTACCGTGTCCTCGTCGGAGGAGTCGGAGACTATGTAGATCTTGCCGCCTTTCCCGCCCATCGCCGCTTGCCCGAACCCAATGCCGCAGTCCGCCAGCCGCTGCCGGTTGCTCGCCCAGTCCCCTGCGCACCGCCAGCAGTCGTCGATGGGGTTTCCGGTCAGGCATTGGTCCTTCTCCGTCGTCGACACCAAGACCCTCCTCGAAACCGATTCATTAACTCTCCTGTAATTTGCAGACCAAGTGTTTGTGAAAATGCCAGAGTCAAAAAGCAGATTAAAATCAAGGTTTTTCTGTTCTGGAAAATAGAATGAGAACCAGATCGGGAAATGCCAAGAACTCTAAAACTCAGATTGGAAATCTGGTATAATGGGCAAAACCCATTCCAATCTGTAAGTAAGCTGTGTTAACAATGTCTGCACAAAATCTTCCATTTTACCTCTGAACTTCGTGAACCACAGCTTCAGGGTAGGGGTGTTGATGGGGGAGAGTGAGGTTGAAGGCGGCGGCGCTGATAAACGGAGGAGACAATGAGGTAAAGAGACAAAACAGGAAAATGGTGGTGGAACTGGGAAGAAACATCATCCTTGGATGAACAATCAGAAGGTTGTTGAAACTCCAGATGTTTTGCTCAATTGTTCATGAATGTTTGCTAAAGGTATGGGAGAATGTCGAGTTGCTTAAATAATCTAATCTATACTCAATAAAAATAAAATAAAATCAATCTTTAATGGACTAATTGGTGAAGAGGAGATTTTGGAGGTGGAAGAGAAGGCCGAAGAGGAGAGAGACTGTTTTCTCTGTTCTCTCAGCTTCTTCTTCTTCTTCTTCCTCTCTCTCTCTCTAAAGTTCCTTAGATTAAATGAAACTAGTTTGGATTTTCAGCTATCCAACGCTCGCCGCCCCCATAGCCCATTCCCACAATCCCATTTGGACATAACTTTTTTTTTTTTAAATGAATAAAAGAGTTAATACCATATGAGGTCCTCCGAGTATAGTGGTTTTGCCACGTTTAGTCCCAAACTTTCAAATTGACCATCTGTGGTCCTTCGACTTTTAAATTTAACCATTCGTGGTCCAAGTTAACCACCCATGGTCCTTAAACTATTAAATTTTAACCAACCATGGTCCTTTCAAGAGGACCATAGCTGGTTAAATTTCGAAACTTGAAGGACCATGGGTGGTTAACTTGGACCGCGAATGGTTAAATTTGAAAGTTGAAGGACCACATATGGTCAATTTGAAAGTTTAGGACTAAACGTGGCAAAACCATTATACTCGGAGGACCTCAGATGGTATTAAAGTAAAAGTATCTACTATTTGAATATGCGCTCGGGTAAAGCTCGTTTTGTAATCTTAATTGACAAAATATTACAAAAAGATAAATCAATTTATGTTGTTTATAGTTGATTAACTCAAATCAAAAAAGCTAATTGCCTATAACTTATTGGCTTAAACTAAGAGCCTCATCCTAAGATTTGGGGTTAATGTCAGATCAAATATGTTGGGTGGGAATCTTTTTAGATGTGGAGTAGGGATAATAGAAAATATATTTAGCCTACAAAGAGTTGGGTTCATATCGGGTGAAAAAAAAAAGTGTTGTGCGTGCTGACAACGCGCCTGGCACGCACTTGTTGCTTCCTTTATTTTTTTATTTATTTATTTATTTTTTCCTCCTGACATGAACTCAAATTACTCAACCTTTGTAGGCCAAATATATTTTCTATTATCCTTACTCCACATCTAGAAATAACTCAAATGGAGATAATTGATCTGACAATAACCCCTTAATAACTTTTATTATGGATGCTCTAAGAAAGCTAACATGTATTTTCAATAGGGAGTGAACTTAGGGTGTGTTTGGTTCGCATATAAAAATTGGAATCGGAATGAGAATCAAATAATACTTAGTAATGGTAATAGATTTTGGTGAAAGTATTTTGCATGTTTGATAGTAGGGTGGAATTAGAATGATTACATTGATGTTTGATTGTGTATGACCTTATAATGAGAATAAAGGTTTTAAAAATACAAAAAAAAAATCAAGACAATTGATCTTAATATAATGACATCTAAAACATCAATATAAACAACAACAACAAAAAAGCAAAACAAAAACCTAAAAATACTAATTCAAACTTAAAAATTAGATTACCAATGAGATGGAATGATACACATTTGTAATTAGCAAATGAGATTTTTAATTAAAGGGGCAATCAAATCTTATAATTGTATTTTAAAATATTGTCAACCAAACACTAATTATGATTTTAATTCTCATTAATAGTGTGTAAATTCATAAACCAAACACACTTTTAACATCTTGTAATTTTCAAGTTAATTACTTAACTATTGTCAAATTTAGGGTTTATAGTCCCTTAATTATTCAGAGGTAAAGACCTAGGATGTTGTAGTTTAAAGAGCTCCCGGCTCTAATATGTGCATGTATTGTCTCTTAGGGCAAAAAAGCTTATCTAGAAGGGATTCTAGGGGTAGCTTCTAGCCTTAGGGGCCCATTCGGGTTTGTGCCAAGAATGGTGGGGACTTTGTAGGCTCCAAGTATAGCACACACTCGGAGTTAGGAGTGTCTTTAGCTCTATTGGATCCAAAAAAAAATAAAAATTTGATGATTAAAAGAGATGAAGAAAAGAAATAAGAGAGATAAGGAAAAAGAGAGAATAAGAAATGGAGTTGAGGGAGAAGAGGAAGGAATAAGGTTTATGATAAAAAGGAAAAAGGAAGGAAAGATGGTTGGTTTGGGGGAAGGGGAGAGTTGGAGAATAACCATCGCTTAGGTCGGGGTCATAAAGGCTCCCCGGGCCTAGAACACGGTACGCCGTGCCGTGGGAGTTGACCTTTGGCCTAAGGGTGGTAGGGGAGGGAACCATTGCTCGTGTCGGGACCTCAAAAGCTCCCCCGGGCAAAACATAGTACGCTATGCCGAGGGGAGTTGTTCTTGGGCATGAGGGTGGAGGAGGTGAGTGCTATCGCTCAAGCCGGGACCCGCAAAAGTCCCCCCCGGGCTAAAATACGGTACGTCGTGCCGGAGGGGATGGGACTTTGACTTGAGGGTAGTAGGGGTAGATTAGGTTAGTTGGGATCCATGAGCTTAGGCATCGTTCCCATCACTTGTGTGGGACGGGGAGCCTACTTTGACTATGATTGTGGTTGCTTTGGAGAGGATTGGGGCTTTAAGGCTAGAATCTACCTTTAAATCCCTTTTAGTTATGAGCTTTTTAGCCTTAGATTGCATATTTGCTCATTTGATGAGCTGGGAGTTTCTAGTTAGGGGTGGTCACTTTCGGGCCACCTCTTGTATATATTGAGTTTGTTTTGTTGCTTTGTTATGGCCGAAAAGGCCAAGGACTTATTTGAGCCATAGTCCACTTTTGGGGCTATGGCGTACACTTGTAGACTCTTGGTTTTGAGATATGAAATAAATGCACATCCTTTAGAAAAAAAAAATTATTCAGAGGTAAAAATATGGCATCATGCTAACGAAAGTTACACGAAATTTAAATGCATGGATCTTAGATTTTTAAAGGGTTCGTTGTGTTAGAATTTCACTCGTTTTCCTTTAAACCTCCCCTGTTGGAAATTTATATAGTAATGGAGATTAATGTTTCAGATGAACTACCATGAAAGCTTAAATAATATTTGGAGTTGTGAAGTTGTAAATATTATTTTAGTTTGGTAGAAAGTTAATTAAAATACTGGGAGAAATTTATATAGCTATATGCTTGTGATATATAGCTATATGCTTGAGATATATAGCTAATATGCTTGAGAGTTATAACTAATATGCTTGAGAGTATTAATATGCTTGTGAGTATATAGCTATATGCTTGTGATATATAGCTAATATGCTTGAGAGTATTAATACATTTTTGGATATTTTTATTAGAGAATAAAGATGGCAGTTAAAGTAGTTAGCAGTTAAAAGCAGTTAGGATATTCTTTCCAGCTCATTAGCCTTGTATATAAAGTAGCAGTTTACTTCTTGAACTGTTAAGCAATGTAACAGTGTTTTCTTCAATAACAGATTTCCTTCTCTTTCGATTCTCTTCTTTTGTAATATGGTATCAGAGCCATAAGTCGTACTCATGGCTTGGAATGGAGCAGCAAACAGATCACAACCAACTGTGGCGGCACCATCACCAGCGGCAGCCACAGCACCACCCCCGGCCGTACCTGTGAATCTCGCCGGAACAAATTTCGACCCCAATGATGCTGCGAGTCCTTATTTCTTGCATCCGAACGAGAATCCATCACTGATTTTGGTTTCATCTGTCCTCAATGGGAAGAATTATCACCCTTGGGCAAGGGCGATGGAAATGTCACTCCTCTCCAAGAACAAATTAGGTTTTGTTGATGGCACCATTCCAGTACCGAATGTAGGAGAAGTAAAGTATCCTTACTGGCGGAGGTGTAACAACATGGTTGCGACTTGGATCATGAGGTCCGTTTCTCCAGAAATTGCATCAACGGTCCTCTGGATTGGAACAGCTGAGAGGATATGGAGCACACTGAGAGCTAGGTTTAGTGAAGCAGATATTTTCAGAATCTCAGACATACAAGCTGAGATTCATCAAATTAGGCAAGGTGATTTGAATGTAAGTGCCTATTTTGCCAAATTAAAAAACTTATGGGATGAGCTTCAAGTTGTCAGACCTTTGCCTACATGCAAGTGTGAAAGAACATGTGATTGTGGATTACTGGAGACTCTACAACAACAATTGGAGAATGACAATTTATCTGTTTTTCTGAGGGGTCTTAATGAGACTTATTCCTCTGTTCAATCTCAAATAATGATGACAAAACCATTACCTACTGTTGATGAGGCATTCATGATGGTCCAACAACAAGAAAGAAGGTTCAATGGTGGCATGATGGGACTACAAGTCCAAGAAGCAGGCAGTATCATGTTCACTCAAGGCAATAATGCCAGTTCCAAGAAGTTCTATTCAAACAGCAACAAGAAGCCTATCTGTTCTTATTGTGGCTTCACTGGACATGTTGCAGAGAAATGCTACAAGAAGAATGGTTATCCACCTGGATGGAAACCAAGAAGTAAGGCTGTTGGTACTGCTAATCAGGTTGCAATCAACACAGATGATCAATGTCCTAATGTGAATGATGGTCCTGTCACCCTGAGTCAAGATGAATATAGAATGATCAAACAGCTTCTTCAAAGGGATAGTGTGGTTCATCAATCACCTCTGAGTATGGCTGGAGGAGTGGTACCCCAAGCCAACTTAATTGCTGCAAACTTTGCTCCCAATCCTCAATTAGAAGGTAATCATCCTAAACCTTCTCTTGAAAGTAAGGATAATTGGATACTGGATAGTGGGGCTACCCATCATGTTGTCTGCCATCATGGTTTATTAACAAATGCCAAAAGAGTCCAAGGTATGTTTGTTGAGCTACCTAATGGCAACAAAGCTGACATTACACATATAGGATCTGTACATGCTGATAGTTTGGTCCTACAAAATGTGTTTTGTGTACCTGCATTCCATTACAATCTGATTTATGTGAGTGAATTGATTAAGACTTCCAAATGCAAATTGTTGCTGTATTCTGACCTATGTACCATACAGGATCAGGAGTGTGGGAAGATGATTGGCTTGGCTAGATTGCAGAAAGGGTTATATTACCTTGAAAAACCAGTGTTTCCTGGTTCTGATAGAATAATACATGTTAGGGCCAATGCTTGTAACTCTGCTGGTACTTGGCATGCTAGATTAGGACATTGCTCCCATGGGAAGTTGAGATAACTCCCTTTTATCAGATGTAGATTTGAAAATGAATAAAGATGATGTTTGCAATATTTGACACCTGGCTAAACAAAAAAGATTACCATTCAACATTAACATCACTGTTTCTGATAATTGCTTTGATTTAGTACATATTGACATCTGGGGACCATATCACACACATACCATGTATGGACACAGGTATTTCCTGACCATATGAAGCACCAAGTCAGATCAATGAGCAATTCCCTCAAAGGCTAATTTTACCAAGTGAGAATGTGCCTTTGGAAGACATTACTCCACAGACAGTTGTCCAAAGGGAAGATAGAAGAGAATGCATCAATTCTCAAGGGTCAGGTGACCTCATACTTGAAGCCACTCAGAACAGTCCTGAATCACAGCAACCTGATCCCAGTCCAGTTCAGCTTAGAAGGTCCACTAGACATGTATCAAGACCTGCCTATCTTAATGACTATGCTTGCAGCCTGCCTAATGTTAGGACTTCCCCTCACACTCTCTCAGCAGTTCTGTCCTACTCTCAGCTATCTCCTAAATTCAAAGTTTTTGCCACCAACATTTTCAGCATTCAAGAACCTAAATCCTACAGTGAGGCCATTAAACATGACTGTTGGAGGGCTGCTATGCAGGCAGAAATAGATGCTTTGCAGGCAAACAATACATGGGAAATGACCACTCTTCCACCCTCTAAACAATCAATAGGGTGTAGATGGGTCTACAAAATTAAATACAAAGCTGATGGGACAGTAGAAAGGTGCAAGGCAATGCTAGTTGCTAAAGGGTACACTCAGACCTGTGGCATAGATTATGTTGACACTTTCAGCCCAGTGACAAAAATCACAACTATTAGAACTTTGATTGCTGTGGCAGCTACAAAAGGATGGCGGTTACATCAACTTGATGTGAACAATGCTTTTTTGCATGGTGATCTTAAGGAAGAGGTCTATATGACCATCCCTCAAGGCTTTGTTCCTGAGCATCCTGGACAAGTTTGCAAGCTTATGAGATCTCTTTATGGCCTAAAACAAGCAAGTAGACAGTGGAATGCTAGGCTATCCACTGAACTAATCAACATGGGCTTCAGGCAAGCTGTGTGTGATAATTCCCTTTTCACCAGGGGCTCTGGTGATAAATTCATTGCTCTCCTAGTATATGTGGATGATGTGATCTTAGCTAGCATTGACAACATGCAGATCTAGCAGATCAAAGAGCATTTGCATTTAGTTTTCCAAATCAAGGACTTGGGCACTCTGAAATTCTTCCTAGGTTTGGAGGTAGCTAGGAATCAGAAAGGCATATCTCTGACTCAAAGAAAGTATGCCCTAGATTTGTTGCAAGATGCAGGCTTCCTTGACTGTAAACCTGCAAAGTGCCCCATGGTTCAAACTAACAAGCTTTCTAAAGATGATAGTGAAGCATTGAAGGACAACACTCAGTACAGAAAGATGGTAGGAAAACTCCTGTATTTGACCTTCACTAGACCTGACATCTGTTTTGCTGTGCAGCAGTTATCTCAATTCTTGGACAAGCCCACCATTCTTCATCTACAAGCAGTCCACAGAGTGCTGATGTATATCAAGAGTTGTCCTGGACAAGGTCTCTTCTTTCCTACAGATTCCAACTTAAAACTTAGTGGCTTTGCTGATTCAGATTGGGCAGGATGCCCTGACACAAGGAAATCTGTGACTGGCTTTTGTGTGTTCTTGGGAAATGCCTTGGTGTCTTGGAAATCCAAGAAGCAAAACACCATATCTAGATCATCCCCTGAAGCTGAGTATAGAGCCCTTGCTCTTGCTGCTTGTGAAATACAATGGCTATACTACCTTCTTGAAGTCCTTGAAGTTCAATTAGGAGAAGCAGCCATACTGTTCTCTGATAGCAAATCTGTTATTGCTATAGCAGAAAATCCAGTTCTACATGAGAGAACCAAACATATAGAAATAGATTGCCATTTGATAAGAGAGAAAGTTCAAAGAGGGGTCATCAAGTTGTTGCATGTACCTACAGAACATCAGACAGCAGACATCCTAACTAAACCTTTACAGCCATTACTGTTCCACAGATTTGTATCCAAGCTGGGGCTCCATTCCATGTACACTCTAGCTTGAAGGGGGGTATTTGAGAATAAAGATGGCAGTTAAAGTAGTTAGCAGTTAAAAGCAGTTAGGATATTCTTTCCAGCTCATTAGCCTTGTATATAAAGTAGCAGTTTACTTCTTGAACTGTTAAGCAATGTAACAGTGTTTTCTTCAATAACAGATTTCCTTCTCTTTCGATTCTCTTCTTTTGTAATAATTTTCGTGCGTAAGGTTTTATGCATTTTGAAACTATATGCTTCAAAGTTACACTTAACATGCTTGTTATATGTAGTTGTATGCTTGAGATTATTGAACTACATATATGTATATTATTTATATTTATCATTTGCATGGTTTCATGCGTAAGGAATATATAAATATATATATGTATATAATTTTGCATACAGTTACTGACTCAAAATAAATTTAATAATTTCTCCAGTAATAGATATATCATTCAGGATATATCTTGTCTTATGGAAGTTGAGTTTTAAATTAAAGCAACTTCCATGTAACTTTTCCAAACAGATATATTTTACATCTATAAATACTTGGAGAGACATCTGAAGAAGACAGAGAAAAAAGGAAAACAGGCAATTGATAGAGGCAATCAACTTGCAGGACACCATGATATTTTACAGGCTTACAATTCTACAGGAAATTCTCAAACAGAGCAACTTGAGAGTTTTATTCATCTTCTTGTATCCCATAAGATTAAATCTTGAACCTTGTTGCTTTTATAGAGGGAGATTTAAAGCTTATAGGAAAGTGATTACACGCCTGAAGATATCAAATGATCCAGTTTTTGTTCCCTGATGTATTCTGTATTTTTTTGTTGTATCTCAAATTTATTACAGATTACAAGTCCTTTTTCCAACATCCCCTTCATGAGTAAGCATTAGCAATTTTATTTTCTCTCTAAAATTTCTAATTTCGAACATTGTCCATTACTATTTAAGAGTGATATCTACAATTTAAAATAATTTAAACAAGAGTTAAATAAATTAAAAAAAATACACTTTTCATTATAAGGTATTTTGCATGTTATAAGCTAATAGTGATTAGTTAGTTGACCAAATATTTTATACAAATCGCTACTATTATCTATTGATCAAATAATCAATACAATCAACTACTTAGTATTAGTTAATATAATCAATTATTAGCTAATTGTCAAAACACCTTATAATGTTCACACATGACACTTGAGACATTCCACAAATTTTAGATGGACAATAATGGTCTATTTGGTTTATAGAAAAATACTTTCATAGGAGAATCTTTTTCCTCACGTTTGAGGGAAAAAAAAAACATATTTTACCTTGTTTGGTTGATGGGAATTGAAGTTATTTCAATGGAAAATAAAAATTTTAAATTTGAAGAAAATGAATTCTTTGCTCTCATTTGATATTTTATTTTTTCACAAGCTTTTGGATAAAGTCAAGTACTCAAATTAATAAGACCATAATAGTCACAGGACCAAAAGTGTAATTTCCTCCACAGATTAATATATTACTCATACATATTTTGATTTTGTACAACCATTTGAATACTTATACTAATTATTTTTAACAGCCTATTTCTTACCAACCAAACAATTGAATTAATATTATAAAACAATGTCATAGACATTGTAATATTATTTTACAAACAAACTCAATCTAAGTCATGTCGATTCTTTTTATGAACAAAACGAGCAGTAAACTACAACGTGTTTAGGGTTGGGGTCGGGCTTGGCCTCTTTGTGTGTAAAATGATATAATTTGGTATCAGCCTCGAAGTTAGTTAGGCTTGATTTACATTTTCATTGACTTGAAGGTGAATTTATGAAATTCAAAATATATAGTCTCACGAAATTAGTAAATATGTGTTATAAATATAAAAACACGTGTGGGGCATAATGACACTTTGGTAAAAGGGGATATAGAAAAGCTGGACGTGGGTTGTGTAGTCAAATAAAGTTTCATTGTCTGCATTTCTCACTTTCCATGCAACGGTGAAAATGATGTCTTACAAATATTTATTAATCTTTACTTACACACAAACTCAGTGTCATTTTGGGATTTTTTGCCCTTTTTGGTACCATAATTACCTCAATGATGCATGCATGTCATGACCTTTTCACTTCTAACTAAAGTAAAGGAAAATGCAAAGTATTCTTTTTATTTTTATTTTTATTTTTAATATCAAGTAAAATTCTCTGTGTATCCATTATTAATTAGATTACAAGAAAATAATTGATTTATTTTTATTGGTATGGATAAGATAGAGGGGTTAAACTCAATTGCCAGGCTATTGGCACCTAGTTGTGCATATCTCCTTGGGTTAGGGACACCCAATTTATTATCAATCAACACTCGGCTCAAACAATACCATCAAGAGCCATGTTAAGGTTGTCCTTATTCCTGCAATACTCTCTCACTCTTAAAAAATTTTATATCACTAAATTTGTAATTCATTTACTATTTTTTCTTCATCTCTGCAATAATCTCCTACTTTCAAAAAGAGTATCACATTCACATCACATCATATCAAAACAAAACAAATAAATAATTAAAAATGAAAACGAAAAAATATATTGAAAAAAGTACAAAAGGCTGTCGTAATTGTTGCTATTTCGACAACCTTTTGTCAAACTTGCTACAGTAGCAAGTTTGCTAACCATGTCATCATATATATATATATATATATATATATATATATATATATATATATATATATAATTTGTTTTTCAGTGTGTCACCTCATCTAGTAATGGGAAGATTGGTTGGGATAAGGACAACCTAAGCTCCCTATCGCTACAACTTTATTGGACCGCTAGCCTTGTAAGAGTGCAAGATAATTCACATCAATTTTTTTTATTTTTTTTTTTGTGATGTTAGAAAGTAAGAAATGAAATAAAAGTTCATTAATATCCGTGTAACTTTTAGTCCCTAAAGTATTTTTTTTCTTTCTCTCTTTTCTTCTTAGTTATAAACTTCAATGTTGTACAAATTTGGTACATGACTTTAAAAAATTGTTACTTTTAGTCCTAGTCAAGTACAAAATATGTTACAAATATATTGTTCTTTATAAATCAATCTAATGTGTGAGGATGCATCACCTTTTTCACTTATAACTACATTAGTCGATCTTATAATTTTTTTCTCATAAGTCATAATATTCACATTCTTAACCATACATATTTAGTTCTTTTTGTATTTGATTAATAAGTAATTTTGTTTTTTTAATGCGGGGTGAGTTGACCAATTCACAAATATATAATGCATATAAAAAGCTTTATTGTCACTATTGGTTTTATGACACTAGGCCAAAGCTTGGCCAACATAAACCTTTGAAGAACAAGTATGAAGATTGGAATTGAGAAAAAAAAAAAAAAAAAAAAAAAAAAAGAGCAAACATAAATGTATGAAACTTTTGTGTAGTATAAATCTCGAACCCTTTACAATCCCTTTTCCAAGATTTATATGCAAATATGAGGATTGAATGTCCTCCCCTATACTGATAATACTTCAAAAGATTATCTATATTGATAAGATTTTTAATAATTTGTAACATAACTGTAAATTGATTCGACATAAACAATGGTAAGGTTCGTTTTAAACATGTTAATATTATCCATAGAATTTCGAATTGATTGGGCCAATGACAAGGGTATAGATTAAGGGCGAGGACCTTGGACAATGATGACTATACACATGTTGTTCTAGTCTTAGTACCTCAAGTAGCGTGTGCCCACAGGCCTACATTGCAGAATTGTGGCCTTGAAAGAAGAAGAAAACGAACCACGATCTAAAATTCCAAGTTGATTGGGCTAATGACAAGGGTATCGGTTGAGACCGGGGACCTTAGACAATGATAACTCTACACATTTTCCTCTAACCTTAGTATCCCGTGTAGCGTGTACCCACAAACCTACGTTGCAGAATTGTGGCCTTGATCCAGCAGCAGACCAAGAACAAGGACAACCTCTTCATCAGTCAATCCCCTTTTTATGCCAAGTAAAATAATATAATATCATATCCACACGTTCATTATTAATTATATTTAAAAAGAAAGGTAAAAAAATAAATCTTCTAACATCTGTTGTCACCGTTGTCACATCAGAGGGTAAAGAACAAAATAAAAGTGCGTGGGTAAAGCTCCATGTTACAACACAAAAGGAGTTATTTTATGTCACAAATGAATTCTAAAAAATAACTCGCAAGATGTCATTACTCAACCCTAATAAAAACACTCTGCTTTTCACATGGTACACTGCTCCTTACCTTTTAAACCATGTTAGTTCTTTATATATATAAAATATGGATACATGAATTCTTGATGATTCCTTGAGAAAAAAAAAAATATAAATACAGTTAGTTTGAGTTGTTGGTTTCAATGTCTAAAAAAGGGAACCAAAAAAATCGCATGTAAATCATTTCATAGTTTAATTGGATCGTGAGTTATGGGGATCGGAGGTCCATAACATAAAGCATGCATGTCTTGATCTTGAAGGGGGATGGCATCCTCGTCAGCAGATAACATTTTGTCTACACATTTTCTTATAGATAAGGTGTATTTGCCGACCAAATATATCTAAATAATAATAATAATAATAATAATAATAATAATAATAATAATAATAATAATAATAATAATCCTTTATATAATAAAGCTATATGGTTTGGGAAATAATTAATGTTATAATTAATGCCACAACATCCTTTATTACTAAAAAAAAAAACAAAAAACACAACATTTAAAAAATAAAATAGCTATATATTATATAATCATATAAAAAATATACTTTTGAAAAATAAAATAGCTATATATTATATAATCATATAAAAAATGGGTTCAATTAGAATTTAAATTTACACATACAAAATTTGAAATTTGCTTTTCAAATGTAATTATCTTAGTTATTATTTGTATTGTGAAAATTATAATATAGATGAAATACAATTAAGAATATATAAATCAATGTAATTATGTAAATTCTCTCTATAAATTTATTTGAATATGCACATAATTAGAGATTATATTAATCATACAAAATTATAATTTTAATATTAATTTTAATTTTAATTGTAATTTTGTATTCTATAAAAATAATAAATACTTGACCAATGGAAGCTCAAAAATATTATTATATTAAATAATTTAAAATATTTTAGTTTTTCTATTTTTTATTTATATTTATAATAACATAATTTTTTCCCATGCATCGCGCGGGTGAATTACTAGTAATAATAATAATAATAATAATAATAATAATAATAATTATTATTATTATTATTATTATTATTATTATTATTATTATTATTATTGTTGTTGTTGTTGTTGTTGTTGTTTATCACTCTCAATAATATTAAAAAATTATTAATGTAATCTTCTTTTATTTGTGCGCTATTTTTTCTTTTTAGTGAAAAGGATCCACAACTATTATTCGAGAGTATGCATTGAAATTCCGTTCATGTGTAATAGTTCGCAAAACACACAAGAAATGTAAATTTCAAGTTTGTGCAACATACTTAACTGATAGAATGTTTGTAAGAATTAAACTCGGAGACATTCTGGTATAAGAATTATCCTCTGCTCAGTCAGCAATCTTTTTCCATTTTTTTTTTGTTCTTTTTTTTGTTTTTTTGTTTTTTTTGTTTTTTGTATTCTTTGACAATCTCATCAATGTGATAGGCCGGAAACCTAGGACAAAAATACACAACGTTATAAAAGAAAAAGGTCATTTGATTTGTTCTCTTCTGTCTCTATATATGATTGAAATAGTTTAAAGATTGGGAGAAGAAATAGTTTAAAGATTGGGGGCAATTTAATTGGGAATTGTGTGCATTGTCCAAATCATAACCGACCATTGTGTGGACTGTGGACTCTCCAGTAATTAAAATATTAAATTACTACCACTATATTTTATTCCAATTTTAATCCCTTAATATTATTTTCACTTTTTAAATTTTTATTATATATTTTAATTATTAACCTTACAAATGTTTCAGTTTATTTAAAATGTCTTTAAATCGAGCATGATGAATTTTTTTTTACAAAGTCATTGATACTGTTAATTATTATCCATGTGTATATATGTACACACACAATAGGCTTAGACGGGTGAAAGCAGATTCAAGAGAAGTATTATTAAGTATAAGACCAGTACATAAAAATAGGTTGAAATCTTCAGGTTCAAAAGCTCTCAACAGGTCGGTGAGTATTAAAGTATTTATGTTTTAAAAGTCCTTCTTTTTGAAGAGTTAGTCTTTTATAGTATTATCAGTGGAGACACATGCTGGGAATCTAACCGATAAGGTGTATAGGGCACCTATCTGCAAGTTAGTCAGATTGATCGTGTACGTGTCCGCACAGAGTTGACTAAAGCTAATGAGACAACGGGAAGGATAGTCACAAGTCTCTTGTCCATTCAAGTTGAATCAGTCTCTCGACCTCGAAGGTCAAGATCCGTACTTCTGAGATTGGACTCGATCAACGACTACTAAAATAAATTTATAATCTATAATATATTAAAAATGAACATTCAATATACTAAAAATGAATATTTATTAGTGGAATCATGATCCATAATATAATTTGCTCACCCCTTAGTATATTTGTTAATAGTTATACTGTGGATCATGATCCATATTGTAAAGTAGACTATTGATATATGTGTTCAGTTTTAGTATATTGAATGATCATTTTTAGTGTATTAAATGTTGACTTTAGTATACTATTTAAAAATGAACATTTAGTACATTAAAAATAAACATTAAGTATACTAAAAAATGAACTTTTATCAATGGTTCACCTTGTAATGTGACCATGATCTACAATATAATTTGCCTATATTTGTAAGGAGTTCTATTATACATCTACTCTCAATTCCTACTCGCTTAATCTTACCAATTATTATTGCGTGAACCGTGATCCAAAACAACACCATCTCCTCATTTAAGAAGAGACAGCGCAGTTAATTGCGCGATGTGGGTCGCACAATTTTTTTTTTCTTCTTTTCACACGACTTGCATTTTCCTCTCCATTGTTGCAACATACATTTTTATAACGCATAAAGTACATTATTTTAACTGATAAAATATATTATCTTACTTAGAATGTTCATTTTTCTAACACATAAACGGCTGAGAAGACGTTGTTATTGACTAACAAAATTTTTTTAAACGTCTAAACGACGTTGTTTTGGACCGTGATCCACACAATAATTTGCTCAATTTTACTTTTTGATTTGGAGGACATTGATAAAGTACTTTTTTCATGTGAATTCCAATAAAAGTGTTTACATACAAAATTTGAATGTTAAAATAAATAAAAGTTGGGAGTAAAAAATAGAAGTCGAATTACTATTTTCCATTTGTAATGTACGATATAAGGAGCTTAAGCCAGGTAACTAAATACAGCCCTTTAAATTCCATTGCAAGACAGCCCATTCAAATTCAAGGAGAGACCATGCTTTTAAGCCCATATATTCAGCCCAAATTTGCACAAATAGAAAGCCCAAAAAATGCCCAACAACTAAAACATTTATCTGGAAGTATATATATTTAATATTCCAAGAAATTGTTTCAAAAAATATTCCAAGAAATTCAAATAGGCTGGGATTTTGCTTGGGTAAACCGCGCTCTTTCCGATCGTAGCTCCACTCGTTCGCACAAACAATGTCAAACGCATAAATATTTATTACGGAGTGAGATTTAGGGTTCATATTGCGGAGGAAGAAATGGAAAGTTCTGCGACGTTTGATTCGGAGAAGGCCGGGAATGCTGGAGGTAACTTATCTGAAATTTCTTAATGAATGGCCTGATTTTAGTAGAATGTTTTCCCTGGTCTTAATTTCCGTTAATTTCACCTTTTTTTTGGTTGAAATCCATGTAGTTTTTACTTCAATTTTGAGTGTTCTCGAGCCATTTCAGTTCAGTTGGTGTATCATGTATGCGCTGCGTTGCGAAAGATTGCTTTTTGAAATTAATTTGTGTTACAATTCATTTTTTTTTTTATTCGAGGGAGGATTTTCAGGTTTGGAAGTTTATTTTTTTTTTGAGGAATTAAGATAGCTGCTCGTAAAATCTAATGTTGATTATCTATTTTCGTTTGTTGCATTAATGTGCAAGCATTATGTTTATATATATTGGTTGTACTGTGAGGAACTTTGATATATGCTTGAACTAAGAAATTGTTGAATTCTGGCATTATGTCAGCTTCTTTGCAGTAGTAGCATTGTAATCAGAAGATGTAAGAGTGTTTTCTTCTTTTTAAACAACTTGGGTTTTCTGAGACTGGTATTTTGTGTATGATTAAGGCTTTCTTTTTATATTTAAGAAAAACCTAAGGTGCCAGAAGCAGCAAAAACTGTTATTGGCAATGCTGCAAGGAGGAAGCTTGTGGATATTAGCAATGTGCCACAACAAATGAGGCCATCTAATGAAAATGAGAAGTTGAAACATATCCCAACTGAAGTGAAAGAGTTAATTGCAAAGCTTGAAACGGTAATATCATTACACTTGTAAAGTTGTAAGTGTATTGCCCTTCTTGAAATATACAGTACAGTATATGTTTTCGGGTTTCAGCTAAGTAGATGATTTATCTGTATTTAAAAAAAAAATTGCAGGAAAATAAGGCATTAATGAATGCGCTAGTGGAAAGAGTGTATCCTACTATTCTTAAAGCTTACTCCGTATTTCTTTTGGGCAGGGGCGGGGGAGGGGGGGGGGGGTGGGGGTGGGTGGTGGTTTGAAATGTAGAGAGTTGCCATTGTTAATCTTATTAGGTGGTTTTTGTTTCTTCTATTTATGAAGATTTCCATGACTGTTGTCCAATAGTAAAATTATTGAAATGAGTGGAAGCGAGATACAGAGACTGAGGGCTACTCTGCAGAAAATGCAGCAACAAAACCGTCAACTTGCACTATCAAACACACAAAAGCTTATGGTTTGTTTTCATTTTTTCCTGTGTTAAAGTTGGGTCAAATTTCTTATAAATCCAACTTTCTGACTTATATGTGTATTTTGTTTTTTCCTTTTCAGGAACTAAATTTATGTAAAGAGAAGGTAAACATTTGAGGTGCCTTGTATCACACTGAAAACTGATCTAATCCTGGAATCTTAGTAACTTGAGCTAATACATATATATATTTGATTGATGTCAGCTAAAAGCATTAGAGCATGAGCTTGGATGCAAAAATAGTTTCCTTAAAGCTATGAAATTAGAAGCTGAGGTTGGTATGGTAATATTTTATCCCATTCAGTTTGATGAGAAAATTGTCATACTTGCGACTAACTTTGTATCTTCAAAAGTGTCATAAGGAGAAATCACAGAGAGAAACATCCCACAATTTAAATGCTGAGGTATGGACCAAACCTATGAAAATGTTTGCCAAAATTTTAAGAAACGCTTTTAGCATTCTTTACGTCTCGGCTTCACCATCTTCAGGTGAAACCTATTAAGTGTGAGGACACAGGGGATGACTTACAGGAAGAGGAAGATAAAGTTGATAGTGAACTTGAAAATGCCAAAAGCCGAGGACAGTCAAAGAGTGAGTGTAACTTTTGGGTCTAAAAATTAAATTCTACTTCAGCAACAACTTAGCTTCTTGCACTTTCTTTCCCAATGTAGGTTCGAGACCTTCTAAACACGCTGAGCCCCATGATAATGCAGCAAAGAAAAGGTTTGTCTTTTATATCAAGATGTACATGCTGTGAACCGTGATTTGGGTTCCTAGAATTTTGTAGGAGGAATCGTTTTTCTTGAGAAATTTGTCTTTTCAGGCTTTGTGTAAGAAGGCGATCTGCTAGGCTTAAGCACGAAGAAATTAAAGCCGAAGAAGATTTGTATCAGATAGATGATGCCAATAATTCAGTTCATCAACCAAGCAACTGTGATTCTATCCAGGAAAATAGTTCAGCATCTGCTTGCACATCATCAGACAATGTTGAAAACAATCCTGCTTCAGAAAACGAAGCCAGGGAATCAAAACGACCATCTCTAAGCAGGCCCTCGAGGCAAGCAGCAAGGAAGGTCCAGTCTTACAAGGAAATCCCGTTGAATGTTAAAATGCGAAGAAGTGAATGAATGGAAGCATAGAACATGCTTACAAAATCTTTTGCTATTTTTATCTGGTTGCATTTTGCTCAATCTTTCAGCCAACAGCACCCTGTCATAGTTGGAGGTGAACCACTGGCCAATCCTCAATATCATCTGCTGAGAATTGAAATGAATCTTAACTTTTATGGTTTTTTTTTTTTTTTTTTTTTTTTTTTTTTTTTTTTTCTAATTGTACATTGGTGGAAACAGGGAGGATAACATGTAAATTGTTGTGTTCCATAGACATTTGCTAGTGCAAATTGCAAATGAAGAATATGAAAGGTATCAACACATTTCAATCTTTGGATAATTAGTATTTGTCTGAATCTTAATTTTCATGAGAGCCTGATCTTATATATAGTCAACTAACTAAAAGTAGGCAGGGCATTCTTTTTGTTTGGAAATTTGAAAATTAATACAATATATGTTAAACGGTTGTAAAAGAACCCATTAACACTTAGGAGGTGTTTGGTTTGATGGATGGTTTGATGGAAAATATTTTTTAAGGAAAATGTTTTTTTAAAAGTTAAGGAAAATATAGTTTTATGTTTGGTTCATTGGAATTCATTTTTATTGGAAAATGAATTCTTTGCAAAGGGGTAAGATTTTGTTTTCTGCACAGCTTGGGAAAAACATTAACAAGATTGGACCATTTTACCTTTATGAAATTTTTTTAATTACATAAGTACCTATTTATTCATTGATCTTTTTAATTGCATATTGATCTTTATATTCATTATTCCTTACCTTTTTAAACCCAATCAAACAATGAAATTAATATTCTCAGTAATTTTTTTTTCTTCTATCAACTAAACAATGAAATATTTTTCTGAAATTTATTTTCTATAAAATTTTAATTCTATTTCTCTTCAAGTATTTTTCAGTAAACCAAATTAGAATCTTACAGATGTAGAACAGTTGCAGTGATAAGGTTACAAAACAACAGCCTACTATTAATTATTATATTAAAAAATTCTCTCAATGTTTTTGTTACAACTTACAAACTTACAATGTTACCCTCTAAACTTTTAACAATTTGATTAATCGTTATAAGAATTTTGTCTGATTCTACAAAAAAGAAAAGTTGTATTAGTTCGATTAGAGTGCTGAACAATATCTCCCTCGGATTGCATTACGACCGCTAATCGTGGCGGCGCGTGAACGGCGGTAGAATCTTCGGAGGGTTTCACACTTTCACGTCCAAGGAATCACAATCATATTAATACGAGAAAATTGACACCCAGAGGTTAAAAAAGGCCTACCCGCCTATCAAATAAAAATAAAAAAAGAAGAAGAGAGAAAAGTAGTGAGAAGTGAGTATATAAGGACAAGCAAAACTGGATCCAAAACAGAGGATGCACATCGTTTTCTCAGACTGTTTAGAAACCGTGTTTCTGCACGACCAAAAGTTCAGACCAATAAAATATATCGCAATATCTTCTCATGACTTTTTAGAGTCGGACAAAAATAAAGAAAAATTAAAGATAAAAGAAAACCATCCAGAATTATGAGTATATATTATTATTATTATATATTTTTTCAAAAAAAAAAAAACATCATGATCATCTATGCCAGGATTTTTATCCTTGTAAGGGCACATTATCCACAAAATGCTGCATGCAGCTATACAGTGGATATATATATATATATATATATATATATATATATATATATATATATATATATATATAGTATTAAATGAACATGCAGAAATGTGAAAGTGCATTGTACTTAGGGTTTTGATTTTAGAGTTTATGATTGAGTTGCTATTTTTATTTGATTTAATAGTTCACTTTTTATTGCTTAAGGTCTAATATTTAGGATTTAGATCTAAAATTTAGTTTTTTTAGTTGATTTTATAAAATTTATCAGGTTTGCATATTTTTTTGAAAAGAGGTTTGCATATTTAGTTATTAAAGATTGCATATTTAAGTGTTCAAATTTGTATAATGAAGTTGATGATAATTATGAAAATATTACAATTTTTTAAAAATCTAATCAGATCCGTGATTGGTTTATATATATACACACACACACAAAATCATTTTGTCCCATGTTACCTGTCTCACTTTCCTCTTTGTGTGTGTCTGTCCAAAATAGGGTCTCTTTTTCAAAATTGAACATAACTATCATTCTACATTTCTCAATTTACTCTTTTGACTTTTTTAATTTTTAGAGACAAAATTGAAAAGTTAGTAACATTAATTTTTTTTAGTATTTTAATATAACCAATACATAGTAACATGAGACCACAAGAACCTGAGGACCTTCTGTTTGGAATAGTAAGAGTGATGCCATCAGACCACACGGTAGAAATCGTGCAAAAAGTAAATGTGGCAAATAATTCTATAATAATTTTTTTTTCCAAAGCGTCAATACATCACCACTGGGGTTTGATCTTGTGATCTTCCCTAAAGGAGAGCCACAGAGGTGCTATCTAACACAATGTGCTTGACAATACAGAATAATTTAATTAATAAAAATTTTAATATCTTAATTTATCTTTTTATGTCTTTTTTACACATATCACCTAATTCAACAATTAAATAATAATAACTCATTGCTTATATATATATATATATATATATATATATATATATGTATATATATATATATATATATATATATACATATATATATATATATATATATATATATGTATATATATATATATATACATATTATATATATATATATACATACATATATATATATATATATATATATAAAAAGAATATACGGGTTTAAGGCCAATTTTCATTGATGTATTTGAAAAGTTCAAATCTTATTTATATCTTATATTTATTTGTTTGTTCATTACATTGTTTTGTAAATTTTAAATTTGGCGCCATAGCTTTATGCTTTCCGCCAAATAATAATGCCACTCAACTCAAGATGTTGATGTTTAAGTAATTATATAGTTGGAATGCAAACTATTTCAAAAATAAATAATTTTTTTAAAAAAAAATTAAAGAAGATGACAAATTATTTGTAAAAAAGGTGTGCTTTACGCCAAAATAATTCAAAAAAATATGATGGTTCATATGTCCTTGTCACCTTTACCCTAAATAATGCATGTCAATTCATTTTCAACCGACACAAATATTTACACATGCATGCTACACCACTTTAAAACTAATTATACTATCAATATATTAAAAAGGAAAAATGATTTTTTTTTTTAAAAAAAAATATTTATATACACACTTCTCATTATAGCCTAACTGAATGGCAGTTAATAAGGTGGTATATGGTTATAACATGTTGAATGACTGCCCATTTTTAACTTTTAAGGTTGTCACCTGTGTGAGGGTTTCCATGTGTTGCATTATATGGTTTTAATTATGTATTTTGCCACTCACTAAATCACTATGGTTCATCCCATCAATCCATTATGTTGTTGTGAATGAATGTGAATGATGGTTGTAATTCTAGTCAAATATGGGAGTTAGTTAGGGAAAATGGAGATGATGATATGGGGCTTTTGTATTGACTTATTTTGAAAGTGTGATTATAATTGTTTTATACATAAACGAGTTTGTTTCAAATTATGTGATAATTTTTGTAAGAATTATTTTTTTTTCTCTTCATGAATTTCTCCTCATATCTTTCTTGTCTTGGCCTGACTTTAATTTCATTCATTGGCTGTTCATCAATCCCAACCAAATAGTTACATTAATATTTCATGAACTAATCTTTTAACCTAAGGTAATATGCATATGACATTTCATAAACCAAACAATAAGAAAATGTAAACTTTTATTTTCTTAGTAAGAGTAGTGTAAATTGTACTTCAGTACAACAAAATGGTTATAAACACACATAACGAGTTGGATCAAGCGAGATGCGAATGGTATATACTATATATAAACCCTCACTCGATCTAAGCTTATCATCCGTACAAATTTTAAAACTTATCACCAATCCACTATCTACTATCACCTAAAAATGCAAATTATATTATGGACTAGGATCCACATTGTATTGTAGACTCTGGATCAAAACGTTGCTTTGTTTAAATTAGTGTAACCTTTTTTCTTTTCTTTTCATTTGGTCAACATTTACATTTGAATTAGGTACATAATATATTCATTGTAGGTACATAAACTTACATTTGAAAGTACATAATATGTTAACTATAAATGTATTATATCAAATAATTTTAACATTGTTCTAAGTTCATAATATGTGAATGGTAAGTAAATAAATTTAAAGGTAAAGTTAATAAATTAAGTGTTTGACATGTAATCATGATTATGATACAATTTTAAGAGATATTTGGTTGAACATTAATACGCTTATGTATTAATTTTGTACTTAGCATATTATGTACAGGAGAGGAGAAGTAGCTGGAGGTTACAACTAAAACTAGTCTACCGGAACATATTTATAACAGATAAATAAATACAAATAGTCTCAACCACATATATGCTTAACATAAGGCACCATTTATATAAGTTACGAAATGACTCATTTTAAATCAAGGTGGACCATGATCCTTAATATAACAACTGACCTAAAAATACATAATTCCTACCCTATAAAATGGATTCTGATAAATAATATACTTACAATTTGAGTTATAATTCTTGTCCCCTAATTTTGAGCATTGTCAATAATCAATGAATCATTGGGGTTTTAGTTGGATTCCTTATACATGCACAAAATAATGTACAATTTGATATGGAGTCTAAAAATAAACATTGAGATTTGGGTTCGATTTTCCCAATTAATTAGTCCTCACATGGAGGCTGTGTAGCAACTTTGAAACAATTCAATTGTTATATTGAATTTTGATTCTTTCGCATGTTCCTGTCTCAATCCCATTCATATCTTTATTCTATTTCACGTTACATTTCTTGTTCAAAACATGAAAGCCATGGTGCATATATATAGTTGGGGTAGGACGAATAGTTAGAATATATTTTCTTTATAATAAGATTTAAGAATGCTTTTTTTTTTTCCCCCTCTCTTTTCAATTCCTATTATATAAAATATAAAACAATTTCAATCTCTCAATAGTGAGTCATTAATGGTATTGGTTTTGAACTCATTTTGAGATTTGATTTGCAACATCTTTTTTACGCACCGAGAACTTTTATGCTATACAATTTAAACTTTTTAAAAAGTTGAATTGTATTTATACTAATGCAAATAT